AAAAAAATTGATGGTGAATATATTTCGTCTTTTGGTACGCTATCACCTAGACCACGACCTTAGTAATTATGATGATGATGACGACAACAACAACAAATACTACTACTACTTCTTCTACTACTACTAATACTGCTACTACTACTACTACTACTACTACTACTACTACCACTACTAATACTATTACTACTACTACCACTACTACTACTACTACTACTACAATTGCTGCTACTACTACTACCACTACTACTATTACTACTACTACTATTAATAATAATAATAATCCTCATCATCATCATCGTCATCAGTCATCATCATCGTCATCATTATTAATATCATAAAAGGAAATGTTCTATGCTTTTCCATTCATGTTTTTTCACAACTTTTTGAGTAGGAGTTTTTTTTTTAATTATTTTTGTCCGCATCAAAAGCTTCTAGTTTGCAAATCACGTGTCAACAGCAGAAGCCTGACGTCATAGTCTCTATTCTTGCATCATTACATTGCCACATCATCGCATGACTACATCATTACATCATCATATCACCACATCACTACACCACCACACCATCACATCATCGTACCATCACATAACCACATCATCACATCATTACATCATCACATCATCAAATTTACTACATCATGTAATCATCACATCAACATATCATCACATCGCCACACCATCACATCACCACATCGTCACACCATCACATCATCATGTCACTGCATCATTTCATCATTAAAGTTTGACCTTTTTTCATAAACAGTTTTTATCTTTACAAAATGATTTAAGAAAAGTTTGCTGAAAAATTTTGTGTTAACGTTATCTCACATTTGGTATAAATTTAAAAAAAATTAGGATTGATTTGCGTTATCGTTATGATTCAATGATATCTAATAAAGAAAAACAATGGAATAATTCACTGGAAAATTATGTGAAGAGGTTTGACAGCCACTTATCTACATAAAAAATATAAGAAACGTAAGAAATTATCAAAAACATTTTAGATAGATTCTGCCCGATGATCCATTCGTACAATAACAATAACAACGCTGTAGAAATGTTCATGAAATACATTATATTTGTGGTGATTGTGATGATTACGATGATGATTGTGGTGATTGCGATGGTGATTGTGGTGATTGCGATGGTGATTGTGATGGTGATTGTGATGATTGCCATGATGATTGTGATGATTACGATGATGATTGTGATGATTGCCATGATGATTGTGATGATTACGATGATGATTGTGATGATTGCCATGATGATTGTGATGATTGCCATGATGATTGTGATGATGATTGCGGTGATGGTTGTGGTGATTGCAATGAGCTGAAAATAGTGTACAGACAGAAACACATATGGTTAAATAAGTTTAAACATGTATGTTTAACTTTATATCCATGTAATGTATGTTATCAAAGTATGTGTGTGTGTATATTTATATGTTAGTACATACGAATGGATGTATGTGTCTGTGTATGTATATGTTTGCATGTTTGTATAATATTTAAAAATGGACATTTTGCATGGGAAATGGAATGGGTAGGAAGAGGAAGAGAAAAAAGTGCAGGTCTCCGTATGTCGTGGAGTCGTGTGCAACTAAATAACCTCTATGAGTGCCCTGGGAATATGACCAACGATTTCTTACTTTACAGTTCATCTCTCTAATCTCCCCTGCATGCCTGCATCTTCCATGCATCCGTTTCCGTTTCTGCTCATTTGCTTGCTTATATTTTTCTGCGCGTGTTTATGTATTTGTATGCGTCTTTTCAACTTTCAAAAGATTTTTCGTTAGTGCAAACGTTTATAATGAAGAAGCACGTCTCGTGTGTTATTGGATAGGAAGCAGGTTCATTCAACATGTGCAGATAGATTTTTTTTTTCTCCTGCAAGGCAACAGACGAACGACAGATCTCATAACGATTGACTTTCTGTTTTGGAGGCCAGTTTAAAAAATCCATAAAAGCCGTTAGAGCACTAAAAGCCAGGACGAGGTTCATGCCTTACCTAGAGATATGTTGGCATTCATTGCGTAGTTGAGTAAGAGTCACTAGATAAAAAGACCTCGGAGAGAGATGTATTTACTTTAACGGAAATTTTCTACGCTTCGTTACTTGCCTTAAGATGGAAAAGTTTTCGAAATGTGTTAAATAATTGAAACAAATAAAAATACTAAGTTTTTAAAATGTGTATAATGATTAAAATGAATGAAAATAATAAATCTTTGAGATGTATTTAATTATTAAAATAAATAAATTATTCGTACAATTTGATGCATGCATGGTATTTGAAGTGTTGACATCAAGTAAAATTAAAAGTTAAGACGACATAAAAATGTCAAGTAGTTTATTGCTTAGTTAAAAAAAAAATAAACTTAGGTTGAACTTACAGAAGATATGTAAAATATTTGTCATACATCTTAAATTAGAATTTACTTCTTGATGAATTTTTTGCAGTGAAACAATTTCTATTTATTTAAGACAGGCTTGCTCTGTTTCAATCTCCGAATGTATTTGAGATTGAAACCTAATGACATCACAACCAGCGAGCACGTGATTGAAACTTGATGACATCACAACCAGCGAGCACGTGCCTGCCCTTTAAAAATTCATTATCCAGTAACAATTCCTTCCCTATACAACAGATTAACTGAGAAGTTTGTAACTGTAGCAAAACACCATCAGCTCTCGATGTAATTAACGTTTTTCACATTCTCTGTATCTATCTGAATTTTTATCTATCTGTATCTATTTGTATCTATCTGTATCTATCTCTACCTGTGTCTATTGCTATCTGTATCTGTATTGGTTTTTGTTACGGGTGTTACTTAAAAGTGAGATTTGAAATTCGCTAACGAGTTTTTATATAAAAATTAATTTACTTTTGCAAAAAAAAGATTAATAAAAATTGAAATAAGAAAATGATGTTGAAATGAAAATTTTCATAAAATAAAAACTAAATGTGGTCATAAGATTTAAAAAAATGTTGTTCCTTTATTTGAAAAAATTAAAATTACGTAATATTCGATCAGTCCCTGTAAAAAAAAATCTTCGTGCGTACATGAACGAACGCTGTTTAATTGTATGTGGTTTTATTCTGTCACCACTGTAATTGAGACAAGCCGTTGAATAAATGTTCGTCTATGATAGTCAATGTGTTAAAAAGTGTAAGTTACTTGAACGTGTGAGACATGTTCTTACCTGTACTACATACCACTAATGTAGAAAATTGTGTAAGTCTGCATGCTAGTACATTCCAACGATTCGCACTTGTACTCATTAGCGTGCAACGTTGTATGCAGATCAAAATTTGGTTCACGCCATTTATGTCATCATCTCAATCATTAAGAAGTGTAAGCATAAATTATTCTTACATGCACTGATAGCCAAAAATTATAGGAAAAATGCAGTTTTTTTTAAAATTTAAATGTAGATACAAATTAATGCAATTTCGGAAAATTTTTTTGAATGTAACTGTTACAAAGTTGACGCAACTGATGACTTTAAACCTTCAAACAATAAAAAGCAGACTTGTAAATCTATTTTTATTCTGTTTGATATAATTTAATTTTTCTGAAATATAAATTCAACCGGAAGTAAACTTCAAAAATTATTATCATTGCCATACAAAAAACTTTCAAAAAATGTAACCTTCAGTTAGTTAAACTACTAAAGCTGTTGAAAATATTTTCATTGCAAAATCAGTTTATCTCCAACAATTTCACACAAATAAGTAATCTATGTTAATATTAAACTTTTATATCATAGTTTTTTTATTTTAGTTTTTCCAATTTTAGCGCAATAATTAATATATTATTACAATCAACGCCTGGCACCTTGCATAAGAGCCAGGTTTTACATGAAAGTGAGGTTTGAAATTTGTCATCGAGTTTTTATATAAAAAGTTATTTATTTTAGCAAAAAAAAGATTTAATAAAAATACAAGCCAAGACAGATATTACAGTCCTGGATTATTCCAGTGCATCGAACAGACTCCTCACAGCAGCTCCCATCAACAAAATAACATAAGCCTGACGTGTTTTTGGCTCGCCTGGTCGCAAAATATCTATGCCCATTTTATCAAGATCTGCTGGCGCGCCGAATATTTTGTGATAATAAGTCAAAAACTTGAAAATAGTGCTAAGATCGTAATCAATTATCAACAAATATGTTACTTATGTGTATATACTATATATTTATATTTTTTTTAATTAATTAATTAATTAAATTATTTCTTATATTTATATGTATGTACATACCCTAGAAATGAATCTACCAAACATTCGTCATTGTATATACATATTAACACAAAAGATATATTTAAGTAAATTAGGCACACAAACTAAAACAACCCAACATGTTAACTTAAATATAAACAGCACACAAGATGGAAAGCAAACACGACACATAACACAAAAACACACTACAAACACACACACACATACACACGTACACGTACACATACACACACACATATACACGTACATGCACAACAAACACACTGCCTACATAGAGAGATAATCGAGCAATCTTCAACTAAATTGCGTTAAGAAACGTCCTCAAATGGATGACTAGCAAGAAGAATTTAATATAACATTCCTCTGTCAACACAAACTCAGTTTATGTGCTTGGCGTATATTTTTGTAATATACGTGATCTGTACAAGTGCGCTGGTACGTATGCGTATGAAAATGCAAATGCACACTTTTGCAAATCCATGTGTTTTTCATGTGGATACAAAAGTATCATCAGTCTGCAATAATTGTGTTTTTAACATTGGAAGGTGGTTACTTTTCACCATTTTTCAGTGCTGCAACAACATGCAACAACAACAACTTTATGTAAAGATACTAGAATGATGTAGATATATTACTTATGTAATAATATATACATACATGTATGTAGATATCTGTACAATACGTATGTGCCAAGAGTTTAACTCGAATTAGTATTTCGATTTTTTAAGATAAAGAGCAACATTAGTGTTGAATAACAAAACAATAAAAAAGATATGTATAGTCAGAGGGTTGAAATTAAAAGTAAGGTTACATTATCCGTTCATTCATTCATTCATTCATTCATTCATTCATTCATTCATTCATTCATTCATTCATTCATTCATTCATTCATTCATTCATTCATTCATTCATTCATTCATTCATTCATTCATTCATTCATTCATTCATTCATTCATTCATTCATTCATTCATTCATTCATTCATTCATTCATTCATCCATCCATCCATCCATCCATCCATCTATCCATTCATTCATTCATTCATTCATTCATTCATTCATTCATTCATTCATTCATTCATCCATTCATTCATTCATTCATTCATTCATCCATCCATCCATTCATCCATCCATCCATTCATTCATTCATTCATTCGACCATTCATTCGACCATTCATTCGACCATTCATTCGACCATTCATTCGACCATTCATTCAACCATTCGTTCGTTTAAAAAATGGTCCACTCATTCAAACATCTACAAATTTGTTTATCATCAACCCGAGCTTTAAATGTACTCAACGATTTTATGGTTGAAATATATTTTTGGCTGCCTTGCTGGTTATGATGCAAGAGTTTGAACGTGAATCACCAAACGATTTTTATGACATTGAAACGTTGACATTGCGTTGAAAGTTAAACTCTGAAAAATTTTCCATTGAAAAAAAAATCCTTGCAAAAACATATCTCCTTCGAATGAAAGCAAAATTTTTCTAAAATTTCTTTTGAGATTCTTAACGGCTGTAATGCAAATTTTTAATAATTTTAGGATCAAAATGAAAAAAATAAAACTCTAAAATAGATTTTTCAATTTTTTCAATTAAAAAACAAGTGCTTTTAAAAATGAAAGCAGGAGAAAAACTTCTGATTGGTCTCCGCTTTGATCACATTTCTTCAAAGATGACCCCTGCCTATGAAATCCACATGAATCGCCTGCCTGCTTGCCTCTCTGCTTCCATCTTTATGAGTGGCCGTGGCGTCTTTGTATGTATGTATGTATGTATGCATGTACGTATGTATGTATGTATGTATGTATGTATGTATGTATGTATGTATGTATGTATGTATGCATGTATGTATGTATGTATGTATGTATGTATGTATGTATGTATGTATGTATGTATGTATGTATGTATGTATGTATGTATGTATGTATGTATGTATGTATGTATGTATGTTTGTATGTATGTATGTATAATGTTTAACGTACTTTAGTTGATAGTAAGCAAGTGAAAAGTTATACACCAACGATGCTATGATTACATATAAATTGAAAAAATATACTTTCTTAATAGAAATATAAATTTTTAAAAAAGAATTTATTTTTTTCTTATAAAATGTAACGTACGTAGTTTAGTGTGGTGGAGATAAAAGTTCTCAAATAATGATTGATGGACAGACGTGTCCAATTTTAAATAAGATCCTATATTCTAGATGAATTTTTTTTTATAAATCAAAAATAAACTTTCAACAATAAAAATATAATCTAGTTCTTAAATAGTTATTTCACTTGTTAATACTATTTCTCCACAATTCATTAGTCATGTTTGAAAATTTTTTGCTACATTTTTGATATTCATAAAGAAATTTTTGTAAATATAACAAAATAAACTTTTAAAAAAATCAATTTCGATATTATAAGTTCTCAAATTGGTCCTAAGTTATCTCTTCTTTCTTATTTGCACTGCACTTCAATGGAGTCTGCCCTCGAACGCCAACAGTCCCTCGCTGATGATGTCGTTCATCTTTTATATGAATACCAAAATTAAAGTATTATGTGCGGTTTAAATAAAGTTGTAAGCTTCTATAACATCAATAGTTTGCCATTTAATGATAATAATTTTTTTTGATCTTTCACCAAGTAATGTAGTGACGTCATACGTTGTAAACAAGTTACTGCCATTAAGTTAGACAAGCAAGGAGAACTTCTATAAGCAGTTCTGCGTTTGTCTAAGTGGCATGTCATAGTCCAACGAGCAATAAAATTATCGCATGTTTTTAATGAAACCGCGCCAACATTCGTATGCAAATAAAACGTTCAAAACAAGATATAAAGTTATTTGAACGATGGAGACGCTGCACAGCAATGAACGAAAAGTTGTTCGTTATGTTTACAAGTTACAACAGCATAAACGCTCAAGCTTTTTGATCATAACATTTAAAAAAAGATAGAAATGTATGAATTGTTTTTCTGGATGTGTCGCATTTAACAATGCTGGCGGAAGATAGACCAGTGAGGGAAAGTAGGATGATGATGATGATGACGATGATACTGATAATGATCGTTTCGCAGATAATGGTGATGATGTTGATGATGGTGTAGTTGATGATGATGATGATATTGATGCCTATGAAGTTCTGTCTGAGTGACGGATCGTTTCATTGATGGCAAATTGAATTATAAGGCTGTTAAAGTTGCAGAGAGTTGCACTTTACGACATCTTCATTGATGTATGTATCATCAGTCTTTATTAGTTCTTCTGTCGTTTCATACCATTCCAAATGTTCATGCATTTATTTGTTTATTCATTTATTATTACAAAATATTACTGCTTTTTAAGCTTTGTTCATTAGTTTCTGGTTCAGCTTTTCAATATTTGGTACCTACCTTAATTTTATCTGATGTTTTTGTCCTCCGTTATAACCAGGGTTTTCTTATTATAATGAATACTACTGTATCTGTCAAATTTATGTCTATTAAAAAATAATAATGACAGTAATAATAATAATAATAATAATAATAATAATAATAATAATAATAATAATAATAATAATAATAATAATAGTAATAATAATAACAATAATAATAGTAATAATAACAATAATAATAACAATAATAATAGTAATAATAATATAACCTGAAAAGTGACAGGTTGTGAGACTCCGGCCTCTCCGATGGGTGGATGGTTGAAGAGGAAGAGGAATGAGCTAACGATGGGATGCAACCAATCAAAAGTTACCTGGATCATGCATTGCTCACGTGATCACTGGTCCGGAAATCCCGGTGGGAATTCCAAATTTTATTTTTAGAATTTGATCGAGGAAATATTTGTGGAAATGTGATGGAGAGTTTTTAATGGATTCTAATGAAGTTGCGTGTAATGAAACAGTGTTAAATTATAGTAAATGTCCTTAGAATTTTAACACAATTATGATTTTTTGGTTTTATTTTTCTATATTTCCCATATTTCAGTTTTGCAGTTGTTGAATGTTGAAATATGTAAGAAACGCTAATTTTTATTTTAAAATATTAAATCAATTTTTAATATTTTTTGCTGTTTCTCTTTAAATTTGAGTTAAATTCTAAATAATTATGTTTTCCTTGTTGTTTAGCGGTGTGACTCGTGGCTCTTTGTAATAAAAGCAAGTTCAGTTTTGTGCTGCCAAGACCTTGTTCGAATGCAAGAATATCTAGTCAGTCTAAATAATGTTTAATTTATGCCTATTATATCTTTCTGATGTTATTTAGTTTGCTTGTTGTAAACTTGTAAAATTTCCAAAAACAATTTAGTATATAAATTTCGACAATCGATCGACTACTTCTGGCATGTTTTATTCGAATATATTTTTAAAATTCGCAATATAAAAATATTTTTTTTAACAAAAACTTTTAATTCTGAAAATGTTTAAATTTCAAACTATTTCGTTTTATGATTAGAGATTAATTTTATTCAATTTTAAGCCATTGTAATGAAAATTTGGAATTAAATTAAACTACATTAATTAGTTACTTTGCTAAACTGTACAAACATTTAACGTTGAAATAATTGAAATAATTAATTATTATTAAATTAATTATTAATCAATTATAATAGTAATTAGTAATATTATTAATTAATAATTAATTAATAGTCACACAAACCTTGTTACACTAAAAACGTAAAGTTAAAAAACACCATAATTTCATAGGTAACTGTACCAGCCATTCCATCGGATCAAATTCAGGTTCGTGTTTTATAAACTTTTCCATCGGAAATGTATGTCACAACCATCTTAATATTCATTATTTACTTTCAACTTCATTGATTGGATGTATGTTTTTTATTTTTTAAAAACATTTTTGTTATTAACATGTCTTTATTAATAGCTAAAAGGACGGTTTAAACGTATCTGTGACATTTTATTTATTATAAACTCATGTCTAGTACGATTCATGAAACTTGCCGACGAACTCTTCAATTAATTATTCAGTCCAAAAACAGTCAGACACTAACCAAAATCTATAAATAATATGAATTAATTTTTGTCTAAGATTCGCCATTTTGACTGAACTCCGTATTATTTCTGTTGTTTTTTTTAAGAATGGTTATGTTCTGTGGTTTTGTATTGAAGAATACGTCCTACCTCATGGAACTGGGTCTCTGGACGCTAAACGAAGATTGATTGATTGATTGATTGATTGATTGATTGATTGATTGATTGATTGATTGATTTTGAAGAATATATTTATTACGTCTCACTTAATAATTTATTTTTTAAGATAAATACAATAAAATAAAAATAAAACAAAATAAATCACCAGCACCGTCACCCATGCTATTAATCACCTTACATTGTACACGGCCCTTTATTTAATGTACGGAACAAGTGATATAAATTTTGAAACGTGAATCTTTTGGTATCTTGTTTGATGATTTTGTTTGGTTGAATTTTATTTCGCAAACATTTGGATAACTGTGAATCGTTGGTCAGTTGCTGGTCACTTACTTCCAATTCTTTAGTTGACCAGTCTCTGTTTGATAACTTTTATCATTTTTCTCAGAACCGTCGTCTTAAATTTTTCAAAAATTTTGTTCCATTTTTATTAAAATTAATTTCGACTTTAACAATCGCCATTTTTTTAAGTAGAGGACGATTATAAACATTGTATTAGAAATATAAATGGAAAAGTTGACGGCTGTCAGGCGTTAATGTGGAAGAGCAACAATGTTGATGATAGTTACACGAGCAGTGATGGATGCCTGTTAATGTAGTTGCTGTCATCATGTGAACTCCTCCTTCTAATGATGATGAATGATAAGGAGTTGATCACGATGGCAGATAAAATGCTATGATGAAGTTGGTTGTCATTAAGACATTGTATAAAGGATCACAGTTTTAATGTTGTTGTTATTGTAGTTGTTGTTGTTGCTTCTGCTGTTGTTGTAGTTGCTTGCTGCTACTGATAATAACAGTATTAATAATAAACAAATGGAAGTTATCAACAGCAGAGGTGTATAAACTTATCCAAGCAAAAATTCCTTTAACAATATCAATGAGAAATTAAAATAAGAGCTAATTTTAATAGCGATAACAGCGCTGATTTTATGATATAGCAACAATCTTAATGATAGCGTCAAATGAGTACAACCACATAAAAAATAAAAATCCCACAGTAAATGCCTGCTTGGTTATTTTTATTAATGATATAATTTCTTGGCAATTGAGTACAAAACTTATTAGATCTCAGACAACACTCATCACATGCCACGACTTCAAACTACACCACACATTACCACACATCACATCACCACACATCACCACACCACACGACACCACAAATCACCACACATCACCAAAACACACCACACACCACACATCACCACATCACCACACCACACACCACACCACACACCACACCACACACCACACCACACACCACACCACACACCACACATCACCACACATCACCACACATCACCACACATCACCACACATCACATATCGTGAAAGCAGCATTGACAAGGAAACCATAAAGCACACCTTTAATAAAGAGCACATTAGAGGCTGATCTATATTACGCAGAACTGCCACAACAGATATGCAGTAACCATTTTTAATTGTCATAATTTTTATTTTCGCGGCACGCATGCGACGAATAATTTTTTTATTCATAGATGTGGTATAAAATATGAAATAATAGATCATAAAATTTTTCATGTCCGTCTGAACAAACGTTCGAAATTAAAGCCAACCATGTACTTGAGAAGCGTCAATAAACATTCGTAGAAGTTGTGGAAATATGAAAAAATTTCAAAGAATTCGTGCATGAATAAAAAACAAGCGGATAAAAAACGCACGCAATCACAAAGCGTAATTATAAAATTGCACACGCAATAGCAAGAACACACGTAAACAATGAAAAATTTGCTTACGAACAGAGACAAAAACGTTCAGACAGCTTGTGTACGATGCAGTTCGGAGGAGAATTTGTGTGGGGATTGAAGCACGTGCAGACTGTTGTAATAATTATGCGGTCTGGCACGGAAGTTTTTTACGTGTTGAAATTATAATATTTGTTTCTTTTTGAAGACGTGTTGGTTTTGTAAGCGCCCGGTAAACGAAGACGAGTTGAAATATCGTTGAATGTTCTTATGCAGATTGTTGATTTGATGTCAATGATTTTTTGCGATATGGTGTATCGCACATCCAGTCTAATAATACCTTTCCATGTTTGTTCTGCTTTTTTTAACCAGCCGTCTCGATCCCATATAATTGATAGTGGCGTGAGAGAACTGCAACTACGTGGCATTAATAACATTAGCAGTCATTGTGTCTAGTTTTTTTCTTGATGAATTGAAAAAATCGTTTGTATTGTATGCCACTGGTATTCTGTAATTAAAAATGTTAGTGTTTGCTTGCCGTTCTATCGCAGACTGACTATAATTCTGAAACTGAGTGCAAACGTGTTTGTTTACTAAGATTTTTTCATTCTGGATCTTTGGTTTATCTTTTAGAAGTTTGTTTCAATTCTCTTTAATTCAAAGTGTAAACATTTTTACAGGACAATTCAGATTTTACAGCTGCCAAAAATGTCTGTTGAGGATTTCTTCTTTCATGCCCAGTTACATCGTGGTCGGCGTTCCCAAGCTTGCCATGCATCGAAAGCCCTGTGAAAAAAATATTCATACCTTTCTCTATTAATTATTGATTTTTATAACTAAAAACTTTCTAAACAAAGTTGGCACTTCTTTACTTATTCCAAAATTTTACTCCAGTTCTATGAAAGCAGTGTTTTTAACAATAGGAAGCATATTTTCGGTATCGTTTGGATACTTTGATTTTTAGTCAAGTGACCTCTTCCTAGCAACAACCCTGTTGTCACCTTCCAAAATAAAACTGCCCACGGTACGTTCTACGTTGAAAATCACTGAGTTACATCTCTTTACTTCTCCAGGCATATTCGACGCGTTTGATCCTTTGTAAATCCGTTATTAAATGTAACACCTAACTTTTTGCTATAAAACTTCAAACTCGTCCCTTACAAAACCACAACATTTGAGTTGAATTAAAACTTAGGTAGAAAAAACTTAATGTCAGCAGGTTTTCATAATTGAAGCACAACCTACCATTGCTGATAGCTAGCATCTTGTTGGTGCCATCCAACTCAGCATCAATTTGTTGGGTTTGTGACAGAATAATTTGTAAATTTACATCTGGTTGGATTGTTATTAGTTAAGAAGTTACGGCCTAAAAAGAACATTTAAGTGTGCAAAAAATTGGTCATTTTATGATTCAAATTTGAACATTTGGCAAATGAAAGAGCTGCGAATAATGATTATGAATATATCACAAATTTGATGACAAACTGAAATATTCACAAGTAATTGTGAATTACTCATATTTTAAATTTATCTGTGATAAGATAAGATGTATGACAGCCACACAACTGCACTGACAGCCACACAACCGCACACACACACCAGACGCGTGCACACACGCGCACACTCGCGCACACATATGCATACACAAATATGAAAATGAAACATGACGGAATAGCAGAAGAGTAATTGAATTTTGAAAGCTGACCTTTCATAATTATTGGCAGCATTAAAAGACGATTAATCATGAGTTGCTTTTCATGCCTGGCATGTGATACCAAATTTCTATTTCTATTGCATTTCTATTTATGAACGTGAGGTATCATGATATGGTATCTAACTTGATTTGCATTTATATTCCCGAGGTATCATGATATGGTATCTAACTTGGTTTGTATTTATGTACCCGAGGTATTATGATATGGTATCTAACTTGGTTTGTATTTATATACACGAGGTATTATGATGTGCTATCTAACTTGGTTTGTATTTATGTACCCGAGGTATTATGATTTGGTATCTAACTTGGTTTGTATTTATGTACCCGGGGTATCATGATATGCACGCAGAAATTGTACGCTAGGAAAGGTTTTAATGGGACAATAATGAAAGAAATGAAAAGATATAAAAATTAAAACATTCGTAGCTTATCTATGGCCGGATGTACTAGTTGGGAGGCCCTGAGCAACAAAAAAGTGACCCCTAAATATTTAGAAGAGGCCTTTAATTAGTTTAAATAGTTTAATTTTTATAATTTTTAGTAATTGGCTTCTGAAAATGTTGGCGCCTTTCTTTAGTTTACACCACATTTTTAAAGGTTAGTGTCACAAATAGAAATATACATTAACTGGGAGGGGTCTGCATTGGAGAAGTCCCGGGACAGTAACCCACCCCTGAATCGCCCCTAAACTCGGCCCTGTTGAAATCGCACGCAACATCAACATAAATAACGCAGCCTCGTTTCGAGCTGGTGACGTCACTGTTACGTCACTGCGACCCGTAATGGTGACGTCACTGTTACGTCACTGCGACCCGTAATGGTGACGTCACTGTTACGTCACTGCGACCCGTAATGGTGACGTCACTGTTACGTCACTGCGACCCGTAATGGTGACGTCACTGTTACGTCACTGCGACCCGTAATGGTGACGTCACTGTTACGTCACTGCGACCCGTAATGGTGACGTCACTGTTACGTCACTGCGACCCGTAATGGTGACGTCACTGTTACGTCACTGCGACCCGTAATTATTTTTCCATTAAATTCGGATCATTCCAACTGCATAAAATGGCTGTTAGCTCGTCAGCGTACCACCATCATTCAATTCCGCAATAGAGTCAGCACTGCATCTCAGTGCATCATCGGCCATTGAAAGTCATTTCGTCATCCCGTCATCGTTAGTTGCTACGTCATCCTTTGTTTTGAAGTCATCATGTTGTCGTTACGTCGTCATGTGTTACGTCATCATGACGTCATTACTTTAAATTATTTTTTTAATTGCTTACTAATAAATTTATGCCATTTTAATTTCAAAAACGTGTCCATATATCAATCAATCAATCAATTAGTCAACCAATTGTCAATCAATCAAATAATTAATCAATCAAATAGTTAATCAATCAATCAATTTATCAATCAATTTATCAATCAATCAATCAATCAATCAATCAATCGATTGATCGATCGATCGATCAATCAATCAATTAATCAATAACTGAATCATGCAGTTATTCATCGGACATCAGCCGGTACACCACGTGCTACCTACAATATGGTTGGTGTTTGTGTGTTTGTTGTTTGTTCGCTGTATTGTTGAAAATGTTGCCATTTGTTTGTTGTGTGCGACGCTTTTCAGCAATGTCAAAGGTCATGTCAACAAAATTTCTGTTGGTCGGCTCTTTTGGATGTTGTTTTGGCGTTCATAACTAACCAGACAGCACAACACACACAATTTCTTACATGTTTGTTGATACTTGTACTTTGTTATTTAGCTTGTTGAATTCATGTGTCTTTGTACATTAGTGTCCGGATGGGTATTTTTGTTTTTGTTTGCATAACTTGTGTGTGTGTGTGTGTGTATGTGAAGGGTGCGTGCGTGTGTGCGTGCGTGCATTTTGTACAAGAACTTATTGGTACACTGAGGAAACTTTGGGTATTTTTTATGATGCTGGGTGCATTCATGTATTGTACTCTTTTTTTAATGAATAAATTGCTAGTTGAGGTATTGTGCTGTGCGGATATGATGGGTCTTTTGTGATGAATGTTGTTTATTGTTGAATGTTGTATTGTGTGTGTCGTTAGTAAATAGATGTTTTTGTATCATATTTGTTGTGCGTGTTGTGTTTGTTCAGTGTATGTTGTTCTTGCAATGCAGTTACTGTTGAATGCTGTGCGGGCTCTTGTTTTTTAATAACATTGAGAGCCTTTTATTGCAAGGTTTGTTTGCTTGTAAAAGTTTCTAATGATGCCTGCCCGCTTGTGCTGTCCAGCCCAGCTTAATAAAATATACAGAATGGATGTATTATATTTGTTGCTAGATGTTTTTCTCCTAGTTATACCCGTCCCGTAAGTTCTGTTACAGTTGTTAGTCTCAATGATGTTTGTTTTTCTTTTTCACATTTTGTTCAGAATGAAGTTTTGGTTGAAATAATTTTCAACAGAACGTCATTCGTGTTTCAGACAATTAAAATGAACAAAACATGAAAAAAGGGGCTGAATAATTTATTTGGAGACATTCAAATAGTTTTCTTGTTTTTTCAAGAAGTTGCTGAACAACTGAATGTTGAATAATAGATGCTACTATTCTCCCAAGATGCACCTTACAATCAAAAGCAACCCACCTACTTGCTTCATATTTCATTTTTACTTCTTCATTAAGGCAGGGCAAGATGAGGACGACTGAATCTTATTACAGTCGTAAGGAGCCGTGCGAACGGGCGTTGTTGCTGGCGTTCTGGAGAAGTGAAAAAAATAAAATGACAACCGCAATTTTCATCGTTCCTGGTTCTCTCCCTAACGTTTGCTGTTTCTATTTGTGTTTGTCGTTGTTTGTTTTTATTGTTGTTCTGTGTTTGAGGTTTTTGATTTGTTCCAGAGATGGAGATGATAAAAGTTGCTATGAGGCGGTGGTATGAAGAAATGATGTTTCGTCGAGTTAGTTGTACTATTATGATTCATTGAAAATTAAATAAGATATTCTACGCTAAATAAGTGAGCGCTTTTGCTTTCAGCTTGAAGTACAAAACCGACAATGTTACTTTTTTGAGTTAAAATTTAATTTAATGTTCAATTTAAAATATAAATATGTAAAATATTTCAACAAAAACCTTTGTCCAAAAGTTGTCTCAGACACCTGAGTTTATAATTCTTATTCACTTCAAAAATATTTTTGTTATTAACTTACAATATAAATTCAACATTCCGACTATCAAAAACTTGAAAATTTAAAAAATAAAAAAATGTAAGAGTTACAGAAATGTAGGCACCAAAGTGTCGAGATCTCGATATCTCGATGAGCAATTATCACACAAAAGATGAATGTCTGTTTTTTTTTCTTCAAACTCACATGTGATGCAGACCTTTTGGAAAACTGGATGGTGCGCTCAACCAATTAAACTAAATTAACCTAAATGTGAACCAATAAACTCAATAAATGTGAATACTAAATCTATTCAACTCTTCAATAATTGTATTTAATACCCTAAAAAAAAGTTGAATAATGTTATAAAAACAAATCAAGTTGTCCGATAAAAAATGTTTTCAGCCCACTACAACTGTTTTGATAGCAAATCACGTGACGCAAGGCATTTTAAAACAGAAAATAATATTCCATAGAATGCCGCAAATTACAGCAATAAACAAACTGCAACGACGTAATGGCTTGCTATCCGCCTCACGCCTTACAACAACAACAGCAACAACAACAACAACAACATCAACAACAACAACAACAACATACAAACAACAACATACATACGGCAACGTACAAACAAACAACATACAAACAGCAACACACAAACATCAACATACAAACATCAACGTACAAACAACAACATACAAACAAACAACATAGAAACACCAACATACAAACAACAACTTACAATCGCCAACATACAAACCACAACATACAAACATCGACATACAAACACCAACATACAAACAAACATCAACATACAAACGCCAACATACAAACAACATACAAACACCAACATACAAACACCAACATATTAACAAACATCGACATACGAACACCACCATGCAAACAAACATCAACATATAAACGCCAAAATACAAACAACATACAAACACCAACATACAAACATCGACATACGAACACCAACATACAAACAAACATCAACATACAAACACCAACATAAAAACAACATAAAAACACCAACATACAAACACCAACATGCAAACATCAATATACAAACATCAATATATAAACCCCAACATACAAACAACATACAAACAAACAAACAAACACCAACATACAAACAACAACTTTCAATCGCCAACACACAAACAAACAACATACAAACCCCAACATACAAACACCAACATACAAACATCAACATACAAACCACAACATACAAACAGCATCCCCCCTCCATTCATACGCCTGTCACATTCAATTTTTCTTCTCATGTGATTTCCTTTATCTGAAATTTCACCATACGCGGCGCTTCACTTTTTAATTTATTTTAATTTATTCTGAGGAAGAATTTTTTTCTCATACATCGTCATCACGGCTTGCATTTGAAGAAGGTGACGTCAATATTTTATTATTTCTTTGTAATTCCATCTAGCTATATCTTATTACGTCATCGCCATCAGCGTTCTGACATTTTTTTCGTGTTTCTACTTTTCAATGGAGACATATTTTTTTCCTCATGATGTCACCGTGATAACCAAAATAAACATCGTCATCGTCATTATCATCATCGTCATCATCATCACCAACAGCATCATTATCATCGTCGTCGTCGTCATCGTCATCATCACCACCTCCTCGCTAACTCAGCAACTGCTTGTAGAATGTCACGTGCCTCACACGTCTCTCGATGTTAACCAGACGAATTTTCGCTGGAATAATTACGTACATGATGACGACGACGACGATGATGACGTATGCATGATGATGATGATGATGATGACGTATGCATGATGATGATGATGATGACGTATGCATGATGATGATGATGATGATGACGTATGCATCATGATGATGATGATGATGACGTATGCATGATGATGATGATGATGATGACGTATGCATCATGATGATGATGATGATGACGTATGCATCATGATGATGATGATGATGACGTATGCATCATGATGATGATGATGATGACGTATGCATGATGAT